GTTTAATTGTGGAATTGGCCAGTTTATAGAACTCAAGTTTTATCAAACTGTTTTGGTAAACATCAACAGTACACTATAGTACATCAATACTGCATAAATAGTTTGATAAATCTATATTTACATTTTAGATATTTGGTATTGGTTCTTCCTGGCCTTGATTGTTCTTTTGAAAGTTAAAAATTATTAGGAAAAAATTGTAGGAAAATTCTAAAATGGTTTATCTAGAGGAGTTTGGAAAATTTTGTTTCAAACCACTTTTCCTAACCACATGAAGTATGTATCTTGATTCACAAGCTTGCACAATCTCCGCTGAATAATGTAGGACATTTCCCAGTGATGACAGGACCCATCCTTCCTTCCTTCATTCAGACTGAGTTTATTCACAACCTGTACTTTCCTACATTTCCATATTTATAATCACCACTATCTGAGGATATGTTAAAACCATTTTATTTAGGCTCAGATTGGTGTAAATACTGCCTAAATACCTTTTTATCCATTCGTTTAATTTAGCAATCACATAAATCATGAAAAATCTCCAAAACCCACCATAAATGACAATGTTGTACATTTTATTTTTAATCAAATAATTTTTTTAAAACCTCAAAATATCCATAATTGACAAAATAAGACATTAGGCATGAAATGAGAATATAAAATCCATGGTCTGCAAAAGGCAAACAGTGCTTCAGTCCATCAAGATGACTGTACAGGAGTAAAATGTCATTCCAAACAACTCCTTTTGTGTCCTTTAAAAACATACAATTCAAGTGTTTTGTTTTGTTAATTTTCACTTGTAAACAACATGAGTCAAAATGGACAACAAGGTAATCTAAATACTACACAGGATAATTAAAAAATACAAGATAAAACACCATAGTAAAGACATACAGCAATCAGTGTTCACTTTGGTCTCTAGTATGGTTAGAGTTGTTAATACCAAAAAACAATGCATATGAATTAAAGCCAGCTTGGTGGTGGGTGTCAGTGGCTGACAGATGTAATTCAAGAGGTAGTCAACAACGATCATTTTCAAGCTGGTTTAACTCTCACGAGTGTTAAGCCACAGATGTATTAAATCTCATAATACTTCCTCATAGTACAGTATTTTACCACAACTTTGCATCTTCATTCCAAATACAAATTTTTAAAATAAATCATAGGTCAACCTTTCACTACAATTTAACAACTATGACACAGATCACGCAGCTACCATTACCTTAGAAGCTGTTGACATTTATGTAAGAATTTGATGCTTTTAACAAGCTGTTCTTCTCTAAAACAAATCTCATTAAGACATCTAGAAAATTAAAGTCAGTGCAGCTGCACTTGTACATACTTTCCCAAATTTTATAATCAAGGGGGAAATACACATATATATTTTATGATAAACATTTCTTAAAGAAAGCAGATAAATTAATTTAAATTAACTTTAAGACTTAATGAGATTTCCCATGTCCTGTATAATTCATCTTATAGTGAATGTTACAAAGTCTATTAACACTTATGAGTTTCTATTCACAAACTAAATACAACTAGCATTAATTTGTGGCCACACTGGTGCAAAAGAAACAGCCAGAAGATGACAAAAATATTGGCAATAAAAACATCCTATATTTGGAGGTGGACCGATGCTAACAACATGTTTCTTGATCTTTTTCCCTACATTGCACACTAAACTTAAGTTACAAGCAGGTAAAAATCTTTTCTAAATCTTTCAATGTTAAAAATACAGCTAGAATCTTCCAGTAAAGACTAGAAATGCAAGTATAAAAATGTTTCCACCATAATCTGCCATGTAGCAGGGCTAAGAGACTGGTAGTGCATCTTTCTTAGGAATTACATTTGTATTGAGATGTCAACCAACCAAAGTATTCCACCTGACATCGGGGTGAGGTCAAGGGACAACCTATTCAGAGATCTGCTGCCTGGCCCATTAGTAACCCCTGCAAAGTGACACTTCCCACTGACTGACCCTTCACCTCAGGAGCTAGGAATGGCATTGCACTTTCACTCCTTGGCAAACCACTGCTAGTTAGTTACATGCCTAGGTCTATAATGCTGCGACTGGCTTGGCGTCAGGGCAGCAAAGACAAGTAGTTCAATGAAGGATGTTGGCATCTTTTATACTATTTGCCCAGCATGAATATACTCATACACCGATTCCTCCTGCTGCTATCCACTCCTGCCTTCCACCTCTGGGCAAAGCAGCTATTTCCAAGATTGCTTCTGTGTTCTGTTTTGCTTAAATTGAAGAGTGCCCATAATTCTTTAAACTAAGTACATGATAACTTTAAGGAAATGCTTAGAGACTTTGCTAGCTAAAATGAGATGCTTTGTTATTCCCAAGTGTTTGTCAGAAACATGCAGCTGTGAATTGCTATCCATAATACAGATAAAAAGATTCTGTACCAGAGAATTGTCAGCCACCTGTAAGGCTGGAGCAGCATAAAGGTGTGCTATGCATCAACTATGAGGTAGCCTTTTGCTGTAAACAGAATATCTCACCCATGTAAATGAACACTGTGCTCACATCAGTGATTTTCACATACACAAGGAGTTCAGGAATTCTGCTTTAAAGTTTTTTCACATGAAATAAAAATAGGAGAACAGATATCTGATATTCAGAAATTTGATCTATCAAACTCAGAGGTAGTTACTAATATCAGTACATAATACTTACATAAACGTCTAAGTTATTTGGTTTGTTTTGAGTAAGCAGGACTGTAGACTATTCTGTAAAGAAACAATAACAACAATATTATATGGTATGTTCCCTGAGCAAAGTTCTTTGTCCTGAGTATGTTATGTAATAGTGACAGTATTTTTATATAAAAAATAAAGCCTAACTTTTAACCATTACATACGCTTGGTATGTGCTCTTAGTAGTTCAGTCTGGTAAGATACTTAAAATGATTTCCAGTTGCACCCATAAGGTCTACAGTTCTCAAGTGTTTGTTTTACAGTGATTTCAGCTCTGAACTTTTTATATGTAAACAGGAAATATCCAATTCTCAAGTCCATAATTTCCTATTTCTCTAAGGTCAAGAAACTTTGGTTTGAATTTTCAAAGTGACTTACTGTTTTGCATTTTTACTGTTAACCTGCTTATTATACCTGCTAAAAATTAAGCAATGCCACTTTGATTTGTCTACATAATTTAAATAAGCTTATGATCCTCACATAAGGCAAGGAAGTACTTCTCTACAGCTATATCACATTCAATATCGTCAAAGTTAAGCTTTGCATTACAGCACGTTGATATTTCAGTATATACCATGGAGATTCCCACAAACACTGCCGTGGAATTCAGGCTGAGTTGTAGTGGGTTGGCAGCCCAGCCTGAGGCATCTTCTCCTTTGCGTGTCTTGCAGAAGCAGCAGCAGCAGCGACTATCTAAGTCTTCCATGGCCGGACAAATGGGGAAGAGCGCAGAAACTGTTCAGCAGAGTAGGTCTCATCTGAGTCATGCCATTTTCCTTTTTTGATTATCTGAGCTTACACCAACAGGCTCATACAAAACTACATTTATTGCCAATGTTAAGCATTATAATTAATTGGTACCTTCTTGGCGATATTTCAGAAACTTACTTATAAAATCTAGAACAAGAATGACACCAAAATCACTTATATTTCCTGATCGAAACTAAAGGGACCAATACTGTGATTGGTCCCTAGCCAGTTTATTAATATAACTGGGGACTGACCTGAGAAGATTATCCATCCCCAGCACTGAATGTTCATCCTGAATCCACCATACAGATTACTTCAGCAGAAGTAATGAAGGTTAACTTCTAAAGGATCAATTTTATTATATAAAATACTTCTAGTTCTCTGGAGCGAGAGATAGTGGTACCTCTGCCCCAGGCTTCATCACTCCAGTTGTCTGCTACCCAACACTGCACCTTTTAATATCATTCACAGGTCATACATATTGGGCAATTATGAGCATCCACTTAATTCTTATTCTCAACCCCAGTATTTTATTCATTACTGTGCTGTTTTTGTTTTAGAAACAAGTTAAGATAACTCGCTGGGGGGAATAATAACAGCCGCCAAAAATATACACCAAACGACTGGGGTTTTCCTCCAATGCCTTCAGTAGTAAACAAGGAGGGTCCCCTGCACTAAGTGATGGTTAGAACGATTGACTTCATCAAGGGAAGCAGCTACTGCCACCATCCCTTAAAAACTTTGTAACACGTAATTAGCTGGTAACAAAATACCACTTAAAACAATCCAGTCACGACATTTATACATACCCTCCCTTTCATTCTCTTAATAGGTGTCTAATTTAAAATCAAAACATATTAATTTAAAACATTGAGATATTGGCACAGAAATTACACATTCATTGTCTTTTCTGGAGTTATGTGTTCCAGAAGCAATAAAGCTATGGCAGGCAGAGGCATATGGAATTAAGGTACTGCCTTCAAACAGAAAAAAAAAAAAAGCCACTCTATAGCTATTAAAAAAAAGAGGCAATCCCAAACTCGGGAGAACTGGACATCTTAAAAACCTTTAGTATCATATGATTGGCAGCTCTGAGATCTGAAGTATCCTTTGGTTTACACAAAAGGTAAGTCATGTTTTTATTTTTATGTCAGATAAACAAAGTGGTATTACAAGAAAAACTCCAGGGGATATTTTCAAAACCATCTCGAATGCTTCACATGGGTTTTCAATTCTTGGAGATGTCCAATTATGTGAGGGAGGGTGTGTGCTTACATCTATATACACACATATATAAAGACAAACCCTCTTTATATATATGTCTATATTCCTCATATATAAAATCCTCAGACATACACACACAGACTCAGGCTCTCTCCCTCTCATACACAGGCATATAGATATACATAATACCTCATTTTCTGAATAACATAAAACATGACACCCTGCTCAAAGGTAATTTGCTTAGAGTGATTTGTCTGTTTAAAAAAATTCACAGTTCCTCAACAGTAGTTAAAATTCCAGGTCAGATGCTGTGTGTGAAATACTGTTCCCCTGTACTTGCATGAGGTAGACTTCCCAACTGGGTAAAGAAAATGATACATTAAGAAGTGTTAAGTCTTTTTCCTTTTTTGAACTGAAGGCCCCTTTTTGCTTTGTTCTTCTGGAGCTGCAGATGACTTCGTGGAGGAAGCTTCTGGAGGTGACCTGCCCGACCGTTCTGAGACCTCTGACCTGGCCTCCTGAGGAAACGGTGGTGATGTGCAGCTGTGCCCTCCTCCCACCTCTCTAGGGAGAGTCGAAGTGCATGGCTGTGATTCTGCTTCCTGTCTTCCCTGAGAACTGATGGGCGGCTGTGCAACAGTTTTATGTGGGCAGTTTGCCACCATGTGCGTGATGCTCTGACAGTAATGGCACTTCTTTGGCTGAGGAGGTAGACTACATTCCTTAGCATGATGATCAAGGCCACCACAGTTGTAGCATCTGCAAACAAGAATAATAAAAACATCTTAGATGTAAGTGGCATTTACCTTAAAATACACCCTCCAATTGAGAAATATACTAAAATACGCAAACTGTCAGTGAGACCAGCTTTATTTTCAATGCACCTTCTTAATAAGTATGTGTACATAAATAAGTATATATACTTAATAAGTTTATAATATACACCAGCCGCTTAAAAAATCATCATAATTGAAATGCTTCAGCAAAGTTATAAAACTAGTTATATGAGACACAAGAGCCACTGAAAAACAAGAGCACTGAAACATGTAAGAATAGTTTATCACTTCCATATAAAAGCGGCTCTTTATTTAGGTTTGATGGACTGTGAGGTTATTGTAAAAGGACAGTTCAGCCCACTAGAGGGCAGCCAATAGTCAACAAAAGATAACCAGGTAGCTTTACAAAGAAGACAACTGAAAAATACAGCTGTTGACGCGATACATAATAGCAATTCATTCAGCAACTGGGAAAATTATAGACCAGATTAAGCTTTATGAGTTTAACATTTCTTTGCATGATGATTATTTTGATTGTGGAAACCACCTGAACTGGAAGAATTTTTTTTTTCCTTTGTACAAATGTTAAGTGGTGCAGTGAAATATGATATACAAGAAAGTCAGATGTCTATGGTGAATGCTATCTGGCAAATTACCAAGTAATTCTAGAGCAATACAGTAAGTGGCTGAATCAGAACACTGCTATAAAAGAAAGCTTCCACTTTAGATCAGATTACGAAAAGTTGATGCCAATGTAGTGAAGGGCAAAATTTACTTTTTTCTCTTTCTGAAAGCATATTATTTTTCCTCTAGGGCGAATTCTTCTAAATCGAAATAAACATAACCCATCCTTAATTAATATTTGAATATGCATGGGAGTATGGCTTTGTAATAGATGTTCATGTTTGAAAATTCAAGTTAGCTTCTAAAAGCTGAGCAAGGAAATCATTTGGAAAACATATTTATTAATTTCAACCAGATTTTCTTTTTTTAAAATTTATACTAAAACAACAAAAACATCATAAAGTGAAGAAAGTAAGAAAAAATATAGGTTTTCATCCACTTGTTGGGTATACAATTTGCTTATTAGTTTATCTCTAAATAAAATGCTTTAAGAGCTTTCTATTTCAAATTTATTTTCCAAATGCATTATGACTCCATAGTGCTCATTATGTGGCGCAAATAATAATAGGTCACAACATTTTTAAAATGATAGTAAAATATGTGATAACAGAGCATTATTAGGACTATAATAACAAAAATAACTAATTACATTTGTATGTGAGAGAGAATAACAAGCTTACTACCTTATACTACCTTATATTTCAAAGACAAAGTAATAAACTATGACTAAACTAGTAAGAAGGATATGTAAGTTACTCAGTATTTGCACATTTTTATCTTCTGGGATAAGTTACAAATGGTGATTTTTTTTTTAATTGGCAAAAACTAGACTAACTACTGGCTTATTTTCCAGTTACCAATAACTACTGATCCGATTTTAGAATAATGGATTCATAAGATAGGCTTTTATTCTTTATGATAATTAGCAAGCATTTATCTCAGGAAATACTGGATCATACTTTCAAAAATTAAGGGGAAACATCAAGAAATCACATGTTCTAGTTAAATTATTTATTGTACAATTACATACCTTAATATAACAAACTAATGAAATATTACAATACAGATTCAATGTTGTTTCGGCCATGTTTTTAATCCAAAATTCAAGAACAATAAAAATTACTAACTGAGGCTTGAATTTTAGCTCTCTGAGACAGCACTCGCAAAAACGGCAACTTTGAAAAATATAACCACATTACTTACAATAATGTTTTCCCCACCTAGTTCTCTTCTATAATGGATAAGTGAATTCTTAAATAAAATTTGCCCATCTATAAAATATCTTCTTTTGAATTAAACTCACTTCCTTGAGGATAACATCCACTCAGGAGCTCATTTTCGAAGAGAGAGAAAATAGGCTGAAGGCTTCGGTAATAGAGTAGGCTCTCCCACGGACACATCAATTTTATCAGTCACTGTGGTATGCACTGTGTTTATCCAATTCAGGGGACCATTTTGCCCACTCATTGACCAAAGGCCTGATGTGAGGATTTCACTCTCGTAAAGGGGCTCTTTGATCATACTCTGTATCGTCATTCACCATTATGTTTGGATTATAAAAGTTATTTTTAAGAGTACGATATAATTTTGGTTTCCTTGTATTTTGAACTGCATAGTTAATTCACCCCTCTAGCTCTTCAGATATGTGCTATCATTAGGCAAGACTGCCTTCCACACTGAAAAGATCTGCAGTCAGTATATGTATATATGCTTGGCCTTAAAAGGGGAGGGATGGTATTTTTTTATTCTCTTCTTCTATTTAATCATTCAGTGTCAATCACTCTTACTAAGAGTGCAGATCACACCCCATTATGAAATGCTTTTCCTCCCCCAGGGATTGACACCAAAATGGAAATGTTCAACTATCTTTCAGCTCAGAAATGCTACCACACCACACACCCCATACAAGCTATCCATGGTAGTAGTCCCCTTTGTTCACTAGTCCCACTTCTCCCAACCAGTTTGCTTTTGTCAGTGAGAAGAAATTTTACATGATCATGTATGCATAAAACGGCATGTGTGCCCATGTATTAGCTGTGTTTAAGAAATATAAGGACATAGCTCCACAAGCAAAAGACTCTACAGAGAAAATTATAACCATACTTTATTATGTATCCCCATAGCCAATATAAAAAGTTAAATTATCCATGTTAATTATCTTACAAAATACTGAACCAATGGTACAAGGACTGCTTTCTCACATAGTAAACATAAAGGTAAAATAAATCAAAATGTTCAGATCAATCTTACACATTATCAAGTTCTTTATAAAATTACTTTAAAAAATACTTGAATTCTAAAACACTAGCACATTTCTACAAATATTACTTCTTATTTAAGAAGCTTTTTAAGACAGAACATAAATAACAATCAAAAATTTTTAAAGGACCAGCTATCAAAATGAGTTTGAAATTTTAAATGAAAGGAGAATGCTAACAGATAGACTACAAACACTTCAATGCCCATATAAATAAAAACATATCCTTTAGGCTTTTACAATTATTTAATTACATTGGGAAATATGTAATTATATGAGTTTTTTTAAAAATCAGGTCCATTTATATTAGTTAATAAGTTAATGTTCAAAACCTATCCAGCTTTTTAGGATTGCATTCAAAAATGAAAAGTCTGATTCAGAAATCAGAATTTAGATTTTTCTATAACCTAAAATTCTCATTTCTTGATCCAAACCACTGAATAAGTAAATTATATTTTCCAGTGATACCAGCGATAATGGTTAAGACTCAAATTATTTCAACAATAAGGAAAATATGTTGATTTGTAACATTATTTGACCAATAATTCAAAGTATATGAAAAGAAGAGGAGAAAAGCTGCCCCTCACTTAGGTTATCTATTGCCAAAGAGGAGATGGAAGGTGAAAGAGATTAGGGAAGATGAGGTAAGGCAAACAAGGCTGATTTTCAGCAGGAAACACCCAGAGTTACACCCACTGTTTACAGTCTGTTTAAGTTTATAATTGTTAAAAAATGATGCTTGTTCAATGTGAGATTAGGTGTTGTAAGAGTTTGTAAATCTTAATCATGACGAATTGTCTGTTAGACTTTAAGCAAGGAAACACTGAATAATGAAACCTGAATAAAAGAAAATACTGATAAGATGACCAAAATTATTTTTAGTCATGGATCATTTTCCAAATACACTGATTTGGGTTGTTCCCAACTCAGACTATTTTATGTCATGGCCTAATCTTTGACCCCACACTTGTCATAAAAGTAAGGACGGTAATCATCTGATATCATCACCTTATTACCTTCTCTAGTAACAGATGTAAAATGAAGCAGTTGTCTAAATGTAAATAGATTGTTTTTAAAAGCAACTGTCACCTAAAAAATTTCAGAAAACTACTTGGTAATCCAACAGGAATGTAGGAGGAGGAGGAAGTTCTTAAAATATTGCCTAATTTAGTAGCTGACAATGATTTTCTTGGGCTGAGGATTCAGTAATTTAAATATCATAATTAATTAAAATATCATATTGCCTAGGCCTAAACCTATAATAAGGAGCCCTAGTAGCACAATGGTTAAGTATTTGGCCACTAATGGAAAGGCTGGCAGTTCAAACCCACCAGACGCTCCATGACAGAAAAGACCTGTCGATTTGCTTCTGTAAAAATTACAGCTTAGGAAATCCTGTGGGGCAGTTCTACTCCATCCCAAATGGTCGCAGTGTGTTGGAATTGTCTTGATGGCACACAACAACAACAAATCCATAGTATGCCTTGTGTACTGAATTTAAGGCTTAGTCTGTGAAATCAGGAAATGCTCTCAGAGAATTAGAAGAGTGAATGTGGGCCATGCAGCAACCCCATTTTCAACTGTGGATTCACAGGGCCTATTAACATGTGACAATGTTAATGTCCTATTGAGACTATTCTGTAGATTTTTTTATGTTTTAATTATGGTGAAAATATACACAATAAAATATGCCAATTCAACAATGTCTATATGTATAATTCAGACATTTGTTACATTCTTCATGCTGTGCATTCTCCCTAGCCTTTTCCAAATTAACACCACCATTAACATTAACTCATTGGCCCCTAAGCAAAAACTACCTCTTCCCCTCTCCTTCCCACCCCTGCTGACCATTAATAGTTTTTGGTTTCTATACATTTACTTATTTCATATAAGTGAGATCATGTAGTACTTGTCCTTTTGCAACTGACTTATTTCACTCAGCATGTTTTCAAGGTTCATCCACATTATGGCATGTATCAGGACTTCATTTTTCTTTATGACTGAGTAAAATTCCATTGTATGGATAGATCACATTTGGTTTATCCATTCATCTGTTGATGGACATTTCAGTTGTTTCCACATATTAGCTATTGTGATCT